TTAAAAGATTTCTGTTTTGACATTCTTGTTTTATTTTCCCCACTCAGCATAGCAAGCGGGATGTTTAACGTTGCTTTCGCCATCTTTGGGGAAACAGTTGATAGTGCAATATTTAATTACTTCCCTTCCTTGTTAGTCATCACTACAGAATATAAGCATTTAGGGGCTTGTGAATTTCTCTTGTTTTAAATAAAAACTTCCAGCTGAATCTAAGAAGAAATCAATCGACTCTCAACTCAGGAAGGTATTCTAGCCCTACATCCTTGGAATTACGAGCACGGTTGAGCCCAGAATTTCAGTTGCTAACCGAGACAGTTGCTAAGTGAGTTTTGCTCTGTTTTTTACAACCTTCCATGCCGCGGTTGTTAAGTGAATCCCTGCAGTTCTTGAATGAGTGAACGCAGTTGTTAAGTGAAACTGTTTCCCCCCCATTGAGTTCGCTTGTCAGAAGGGGAATTCTGCGTGACCCCAGGACACTGCGACCGTCATAAATACGAGTCAGTTGCCAAGAGTTTGAATTTTGATCATGGGGATGCTTCAACGGTCGCAAGTGTGAAAAAAGGTCATATAAGTCTTTTTTTCCCAGTGCTGTTGTAACTTCAAATGGTCACTAAATGAATCATTGTAAGTCAAGGACTGCCTGTACTTGGACAATTCAGGTAGTCCATTTAGTGATCGAAGTTACAACAGCACTGAAAAAAGAGACTTACGACCGTTTTTCATACTTACGACCGTGTCGCCACCTCCCATGATGACATGATTTGCATTCGAATGTTTGACAACGCAGTTATGACGGACACAGTGCCCCCACAGTGACCTTCTGACAAGCAAAGTCAATGGGGAAACCAGGTTCACTCAACAGCTGGGTTACTAACATCAATTGCAGTGATTCGCTTCGACCTTCCCACCAAAGGGGGTCCCTATTTTTCTACTTGCATTTTTTACGTGCTTTCGAACTGCTAGGTTGGCAGAAGCTGGGACAAAGTCACGGGAGCTCACTTCGTTATGCGGCGCTCGGGATTCAAACTGCCGAACTGCCGACCTTTCTGATCGACAAGCTCAGCGTCTTAACCACTGAGCCACCATGTCCCTTAAGTTGAGGGCTACCTCTAATCTGAACTTTTTTCCTCTTAATTCCACTTTCTTTCTTTTTTTTTAATTTATCCTGTGCCACCGATGCCCGCTCTTCAGTTTCATCATCATCTTCTTCCTGTTATTATTTCTTCTCTTCTTGAAGCCTCCTTGTGCTGTGGGGACCCCTTTTTCTCCCTCCGTACCCCCCCTCCCCTCGGCTAAGAACTGACTGTCGTTTTTCCCTCTCTCAGATTCAGAGAGAAGTTTAATTTATGAAGATGTCCCTCACGCCAAGCTCACCTCACAAGAGCCTGAAGATTTAGGCTGGAGCTCCAGCGAATTCGAAAGCTACAGCGAAGACTCGGCCGACGAGAACAAAGCCAATGCGGCCCACGCCAAACCCAAAGTTTCCTTCCAGCCAAAGGTAATTGGGGGGATGGGGGGCGATCAGAAGGGAAAGCAACTTGTTGTGGCCCAGCAGCAGCCAGTGGAGCTGGCGGCAAAGTCAGACAGTGAGGACGTTGGGGAGGAGCATGGGCTAGTCCTAGAGGCTGGGGAAGTGTTCTGATCTAGGCTTTCTGAGACAGTAAAAAGCACACACTTAATCCCCAAAACCCTATTTTTATTTCAAAGGCTGTGAATTATGTTCATTCACAGCCCGTAATGAGTCCCAAATAGTTTGTAAAGAGTCCGACAGAAGTCTGCCAAAGTCTTTCGGGATAAGGCTGATAAGCACCCACCTTTATCTCCCTTGAAACGCTGCCAAACACCTACCGTATATTCTCTCTCTGTCTCTCTCTATTTCTCTCTCTATCCCTCTACCTACCTATCTACACTCTCTCTCCCTACCTACCTACTGTATTTCTCTCTCTCTCTCTCTCTCTCTCTCTCTCTCTCTCTCTCTCTCTCTCTCTCTCTCTCTCTC